AGATACAGTGGCCTGGCTCATGAAAAAAATGTTCTCATGAATTTTTTCGTACATTAACACGACTGGGCATAAATATACCATGAATACTCCTCCGGAATCCGCCGCTCCGCCTCTTCGTCTGGTCAGAATCCAAATCTGAATTTGCAGCGATCGAATGTTCAATTTTTCAATTCAGAAAATATTCTAGTTTCTATTTTCGATGACCGTTATCGGCTTCCAAGAGCCTAAAGAGCTCGAAATCGTAATCTATTTCCCCCACATTTTCGTTGTGATCGTATTTGTCCACCATTTTGTACGATTCGTTCACTAAAAACGACTAAAACACTGTTTAAATTGTTGAATTGAGAATTATTTTTCGAAATATCGCCATTTCTAGGTCAACAGGAAGTCATGTTAGGCACTGAATAAATCGGGCAATCTAATTGGACAATACGAATGGCGCGAAAAAGTAAAGTTTTTAAAAGTTTGAAATCGGGCGTACGGGTCCGCCGGCAGTTGTGAGAGACATTTTAGTCTCGGCGGACGAGTCCGCCGGCAGCACGCTAAAGGTTAATTTCTTTTTATTTCTTCATAACATACAATGGAAGTATCATTTACTGAAGTCGAGTTGCCATTTTCACATATAAAAAGAAAGTCTATCTTAGGTTCCATGTAGGCTAGAATGAATGATCATGTGTTTAATATTGGAATGTGAGTTACAGTTTATTACTATTCAGTGTCAAATTGAACCCTAAACAAATAGGCAATCAAATGACAATGTACTGCAATGTTATATTGAAAAATATATTTTTAACTAAGATACAAAACCAGAACAACGGCAACGCCAAAGCGTAGCGAATCCCATCGAACAGCCATGGAGGGCATTTTTGCAAACAAAGGATATAGCAAAAATGGCAGCCATTTTTCAAAATGGCCGCCTTCTACCAAAAGTGCCATTAGACCATGTGCCATGCTTATGGTATTCACATACCAAATATGAACAAAAGAGCTCCATTACTTTTCAAGTTATAGTAAAATACGTTAAAATGGCGGCCATTTTTCAAAATGGCCACCTTCTACCAAAAGTGCCATTAGACAGTGTGCCTTGCTTATAGTATTCACATACCAAATATAAACAAAATTGCTCCACTACTTTTCGAGTAATAGTAAAATATGTTAAAATGGCGGCCATTTTGAAAGATGACCGCCTTCTACCAAAAGTGTCATTAGACAGTGTGCCATGCTTACAGTATTCACATACCAAATATGAACAAAATCGCTTCACTACTTTTCGAGTTATAGTAAAATATGTTAAAATGGCGGCCATTTTTCAAAAAAAATTTCAAAATGGCCGGCTTCTACCATAAGTGTCATAGGACAGTGTGTCATGCTTATAGTATTCACATACCAAATATGAACAAAATCGCTCCACTACTTTTCGAGTTATAGTAAAATACGTTAAAATGGCGGCCATTTTGAAAAATGGCCTCCAATTTTCAAAATGGCCACCTTCTACTAAAAGTGTCTTTAGACAGTGTGCAATGTTTATAGTATTCACATACCAAATATGAACAAAATCGCTCCACTACTTTTCGAGTTACAGCAAAAATCGTAAAATAACGAGTAAAGACCGCCATTTTTCAAGATGGCTGCCGTGTGCTTCTTTAATATCTACATTTCTAGCTTTATTAATGTCCTATATAATTTTTTAACATCTAAAACATATTGCTATTACAGTTTACATATTGCACCTAAATTACTGTAAATTCGGCACTAAAATGGCCGCCATTTTGAAATGAGCGGCCATTTTGAAAATCGGCTTTCGAGCAGAACTTCTACCCCCATAGGGTATATGTGTGCAAAATATAAACAAAATCGGGCCAACGGTATTTGAGTTATTGCCCGGACAGACGGACGGACGTACGGACGGACGTACGTACGGACGGAGGCGTTCCCTATATCCCTCCGAACTTCGTTCGATGGGATAATGATCATATATATTGGATTGTCTGCATGGCCTCTTGAATTCTTTTCCAACAGGTCATTTCAAAAATATCCTGGCTAAGAGGTCTTTAGGGAGTTTCAGCCATGTTAATTTTTCCGAAAATAAAATGGCAGAGAAGCATCAAAATATAAGAGGCCACAGATATGATAGCCAAACTACATAACAAACTAAAATATACAAAAGTTAGGACATGTATAAATGTTTCTATTTTTTACATATACTGTTTCAATATGGTCCTTTGATTCAGGGACCTCTGCCAGATTACCTCTTCTTCAGTGGTGTCTAGGCTCAATAAATATACTCAAGGCCAAGACACGAAATCTTTGGAAAAATCCTTGATTTTGGAGTCAGTTTATCAATAAATATCACATGTAATACCTCAAATGACGCGTAGTGTTGTTAGCTTCATCTCTAATCACTAAAGCCACACATTCAAGAAAGCGTCTGTTGATAAAAGCATAAAATAAGCCAGCGTATATTTAATGGAGTGCTTCGGTTATTCCCGTTGTTCAAATGTTTATTCCCGAAGTCAAATGTCTTTTCTGAGTATATGACGCCACTCCGGATGACGTCACATCAGAGATTACCGAGAAACCCCATGACGAATCTTTAAAATCCTGTAGAAACAATAACAACGGTTTGTTAGGCTACACGATCTTTACTTTCATTGGCTGTTTGTTGCGATGTGACATAATTTGAGAGACGAACAACATCGGACATTGCCGGAAATTACCCAAACACTCCATTATCTTTACGCTCTGAAAATTTGAAAGAAATATCCCAGGAAAATTTGATTTACAGCATCAATAATTGATATCATGTAACCATTCAAACTAATACATAAAGAAGAGATTACAGGGTAATTATTGATCAATCAATGTCTGACAGATGGAAAAAATAAAAGTCAGTACAAGGGTCATATTTTTGCTGTGCTTTCATTAACGCCGTCCCATAATGGAGAGGACCCGGTAATTACTGGACCCCAAACAGTGAAAATGAGGGGTCACTTGGACGCAGTGGAGGTCATATCAAAAAATCAACTCTGGATGAATCTATTGATAAAGATCTTACCTTCAGTGTTTTATTTGGTCAAAATCCGCCAAATAAACAAAGGATATTCTGTTTCTAAAAGAAATAGAATTTTCTTTCAGAGTTTCTTTCCCGGAAGTTGATTTCCGATCAAAATAGTATGAGGTATGTGATTGGACAATCACTAGTAGTTGATTTCCGAGCGGTAATCGGTACGAGTCCTATGATTGGCCGAGATTATTAATCACGCATGCGTCTTAATAATTTTAACTAATCAAATTGCTGGATTTGCTGCGCATGCGCAAAAATATGAACTAAAAAATGGAACCTCACGGAGATTGCTCCTAGTGAAACTTTCTGAGCGATCAAAATCAATAGCAAATTGCTTTGAAATACGCAAAGAAAAATTGTATTTAATGGTTGAAAATTAGTTATCTCTTTCTAATGAAGGTATCTGCATCATTTAATGACCTACTAGACGTATGTAGTACACTGATCTGGGCCAAAAAATAGCAAAACTGATGCAAATTTTTCATCAATTTTTTTCGTTCAGTGCAAAAATGTGACTTTGAATTCCCGGGAACCTTTTTTCATGGGGACGCACTTTTTTGAGGGGGGACGCAATTTTGTAAAATCAATCAGTCCCAGGGAAGCACTTTTGAACAAGCCTACTGAAAGCACTGTTTTGGGTAGTCATATAAATCCGACCATCTTATGCTTTATTTGTCATTATTTTTTGATAATTTGGATATTTATTTTTGTTATTTTCTTGCATACTAGGGTCGTACACACTTGCCGGTTGTAAATTGAGGGAAATGCTTTCCTGGCCTGTTTAGGCAACCAAAATCACACAAATTATGTATTAGAATATGCTCTTCATCGATAATGTATTTAATCCTACCTTACACACGTCAAACGCTTGATAATTGAAGAAGTATAAGAATTTTTCTGGAAAAAATTTTTTTCCCCATGTGTAGATGCATTCTGGGTAATGATTGTGTAAAAGTAAAACTCTAGGTGAAGCGAAAAACGAAATTACAATAAATAACGGCAGCCATATTGAGATCGAGATTTCAACTCGAAAAAGTTTATCATCGTCTTATGACAATTGAATCGCCTTCTCAGACACCAAGGAGGGTGAAGAAACCGAAAACAGATATGTTGGTAATAAATAATTACGATTTCGTTTTGGTTGCATGGTTTCACATTTAGACTGTATTCAGTGACCTTGAGTGACCTTGAGAGCCATATTGGAAATTGGTTCAAACATATACGAAAATGATTACATTTCTTCAATTATCAAGTGTTTCCTGTGTTTAAGGTAAGATTTAATACATTCTAGTTGAAGCATTGGATCCATTATCTTATCTGTGTAACTTTTGTTGGGCATAAAGGGCAGAAAAGCATTTACCGCAATATAATGGCCTTAATATCCTCGACGCAAATGTTGAAAACAAAAATAAAAAACAAATATCCAAATCATCAAAAAGAAACGTGAAACAACCACATTAAGTCGAGTTCACTTGACTATGTTTTGGGTGGTCATTTTTTGATGTAGCATTTTTGGCTTGAGTCTTCCCATTTATCCTTTGAGCCTACTACCAATAGGGGCTGGATCTGACTTCGGATCTGTGCTTTGATTGCTTATTTTATAAATTCAAAGTTATTATTCAAAGTAGTTCCAAACATTTAAAATTTTACTGTAAGCAATAATAATGGCATGCAATTCTGAGAGAAACCTACAGTATACTGGCATCTAAATGTTCACATGCTGGCTGACAAGGGAGTAAAATGGTAAATTGTGACATTTTCTTGCTTTTTCCCCTCTGAGGCAGGTGATATGAAAGATTGTGCAACTGCACCAAATGCCATCAAAATGTCTGGATCGTGACCTTCAAAAAATTCCATTCGATTATTTATGAAAATGATGTTGAAAGGAAAATTAAATGTTTAACTTTTAGAAAATTGTGAAACATAATATACATACCTTCTTTTCGGTATAAAGTCATAAAAAATGTTTAACACAGAGAAATAAATAAAAAACGTGGAAAATGGCGCTCTCAGCTTTCCAGATGCCTGGACTTCAGATAGTTCGTTCTTTCCGTACAGGTACCAGAATCTGGAAATAAACAGATATATATGTACCCAACATACTTATCATAAAATATCAATTGTAACTGGGGTATAATCTATAAAAATTACAAAGAAATTTAAGTAGAAGTAGTAACACATTTTACGTACCCGTGAATTCCGGATTCGCAATTTTCAGCGATACCCGGATGCAAGAGGAAGATCTAAAGCTCAAACTATTACTAAAAACTGATGAAAACGAAATCACAAAAATATCGGGATGTCAAAATATTTCTTGGAATCTCTCTCATCATATCAATGAAGAACGAAGTGCAGCTTTCGTAATAATATAATAACATCCGTAGCCCTAAAATTGTATATTAATCACTGTCTATATCATCAATGTGATCGTGATGAAGATGATGTTAAAAACCCGAACGGAACTTGCAGTAAAATTTTCAGCGGTCGTAAATGTGGGCGGTAAACTAAAAATAATATGGACGGAAATTCGCTGCCTTCTCCATTGTCGGCCAAATACAAAGGGTAAGCCAGTTTTAAATTGCTTTAATACAAGATAGGGGCTACATGAGAACCTTTTCCAATGAATGCGTGGGGAATGGTATAACAGAAGTGAGCGGGCATTGCTATACATGATATATCCCCATTCCATCATTTTAATTTTTATTCCACCTCATCAGCTGAACACAGTTGGCTCAAACCATGACTTCTGTCAGCTCGGTAGAGTAAAGCTCAGGCTAGAGGACATAGGGGTAATCTCGGACACAGGGCATTGTCGGACAATCTTCAATAATTCTTTGTTTTATATGGTTTCTTTATTGAAATTTTGTGAGTCCATTTCACTTAGTCATATAAATCTGACCCTCGTATGATGTTATTTGTTGTTATTTTTTTCTGATTTGGATATTTATTTTTCTTATTTTCTTGCATACGAGGGTATGCAAAGAAAATGATGAAAAATAAATATCCAAATAAGAACAAGGAATATCGAAGAACAGCATACAACGGTCGGATTTATATGACTAATTTCACTGGTTCATTTCGTCAGTAGAACGGCAAAAATAAGAAATTGGGAGACCATTGTGCAATAATATATGGAAAGGTATATTCATAATGTACATGAATGACATTTGTATATCTTGGATTGCTTCTAGTTTGGCTTATAAAGTGTGTGGCCTCTTATATTTGGATGTTTCTCTGCCATGTTATTTTCAATAAGATTAACATGGCTGAAATTCTTCAAATTACAAGACGGCACAGGCTTATTGCACAAAAAACTAAAAAATCTGAAATATACAAATGTCATTCATGTACATTATGAATATACTTTTCCATATATTATTGCACAATGGTCTCCCAATTTCTTATTTTTGCCATTCTACTGACGAAATGAACCAGTGAAATGGACTTTAGACAGTCACACTTATCGCATCCTACGACCCCTTTAGATTGTGGTCGTACGCCCATATTATTAGTAAGCCTGTCTTTCTACAATGTCGGAGAATGAACTATACATTGCACTATTAAATGACCTACCTCGATACATTCCAGAGTATTTTAGAATTCTTTTTATGTTGTTAGATCGCCAATTGTATGGGTTTATCGGCAGAACGAAGAGATTTTAGTTTTTCAAAATGTCGGAAGGGGAATTCCCCAGGGATTTCCCTTATGACTGGTGCATTACAAGCAAATATTGCTATCAAAAACGAAAATATCTTCGTTCTGCCGATAAACCCATACAATTGGCGATCTAACAACATAAAATGAATTCTAAAATACTCTGGAATGTTTCGAGGTAGGTCATTTAATAGTGCAATGCGTAGTTCATTCTCCGAAATTGTAGAGAGACAGGCTTACTAATAATACGGGCGTACGACCACAATCTAAAGTGGTCGGTAGGATACGATAAAGTCCCACATCATTATCAATGTGGTGCTATATATTGGGGTTTGTAGAAAAAACCTGGTAGTAAATCCACCATGCTGGGTTCCAAATTGGTACCCGGAAAAAACGGGTACCCAAAAAAACGAAAAATACGAATATATAACATATATCATTAGAAAACGTGTAAGATTTGTTTTGAATTTACAAAAATGTATGTAACTTCCTTCAAAATTGAGCTAGAAGCTTCAATTAAAAAGCAATTTAAGGCTCTTTTCTTCCTCTATCATCATATTCATATTTTCATTAGTTATGGTGGGAGGGGGTGCGATCGCATCCTGGCTACGCCTGTGACATTGTAAGATGATTTGAAAAACATGACAAATCAATCTTACCCTATTTTCAATAGTTCGTATGTTAGTACGTGAATTGTTTTGATTATGATTTAATTCTGTAAATAGCTATTGTTACTTTAGCAGAGAGGTGACGTGTATTAATTTCCATGATGCAACATGTAAGATTTTGATTAATACAGTTTAATGATAAATCATAATTTAAGTTATCCCAATTTTCGATGAAACGTCCACTGAAGTGTAAATTGTTACGTCTTACAATGTCATAGGTGTAGCCAGGAAGGGTGCGATGGTGCGATCACCCCCCCCCCCCCCATTACCAATGAAAATATGACCATGATGATAGAGGAAGAAAAGAGCCTTAAAATGCTTTTTACTTGAAGCTTCTAGCTCAATTTTGAAGGAAGTTACATATATTTTTGTAAATTCAAAACAAATCTTACACGTTTTCTAAAGATATATGTTATATATTCATATTTTTCGTTTTTTTTGGGTACCCGGTTTTTTCGACCGGGTACTGGGTACCAAATTTGAACCCAGCATGGAGGATTTACCCAGTACCCGTTTTTTTTCTACAAACCCTATATATTGTAAAAATCTAACAATGCTCCATGGCCGATAATGCCCCTATCTCCTCTAGAGTATTATGAATGAGATTCAGTCTGAATTTATTCAGACGAAGGATACAGTCTAGAGTATTATCCATAGTGAACAGAAGCACAATCAAGACACCCCTGGACTTTTTTACATGTTGAGCCGTATCACATATTCACCCTGAGGCCCAGGTATAGAGTCATTAATAAAAAAAATCAGACTTATTCTTATACATGTTAGTAATCTATAAGTAAAAGAGAGGTAGGTCACTTCGATCAGTAGGATCCCTAATCCAATTGTATTTATTTCGCACTGGACGAAACGGTAACCACAAAATTCTTTCACTAAGAATGTCCAGGAATGATTTTTCTTTGGTAATTTCTACAATCCTGACATCTTGCTTTTCTCATCGTAGTTAAAAACGCAAAGAAACAAGCTTGCGAACAATGCCAGGACACTTTTCCCCGGTCAAGATGAAGTAAATCATTTCAACGCTTTCCATTGGCTTAGAAATGACCTCTACGTCATCAAGAGGTCAAAGTTATTTATACCGGCCGCCATCTTTAAAATTCACTAACGAACTAAAACTTTAATGCAGATATGTTGATTCTTACGAATATCTTAGTTTTATATGACTTCTGTTTGGAAGAAAAGATAGATATATCAGGGGATATCGTTAAGGTTAAAAAAGATTGACCCATTTGCAGAAAATGAGGGTAAAATGCCCGTAATACAATTCTATTTCCCGGGGAATTACATAATATCACAAGTGTAATTAAAGGACAACTGAAATAGCTTTTCTCAACTTGCAGCTACAAAAATGTGTTTTTTTCCATTGTAAGCCCAACGTAGAGTTCTTGCGATAGCCATTATAAAATAAATGTTAGATAACTGCTAACGGTCATAGATAACGAAATAAAACTAACTGATCAATCAAATTGGCCCCCACGTGATTAGTAACATCATATACAAAATATAGCTTAGGTTTATTGGTTCCTTAGTAATCACAACGTCACGGCAACCATAGGATTGTTGTGTAAACAAATAACAAAACAGTTTGGCATTATGACGTCATGATCTAATGGACCAAAACGGCCCAGGTGGGGACCAGTGAGAGATCATGTGGGGGCCAATAACGTCACAACCAATTCGAATATTGCTTATTAAGCAGCTATAACGATCGTTAGAGTGAAATAATTTTCACACTACTGATGAGAAAACATGTCCGAATACATTTATCAAAAAATTATATTGATTCCTTTAGGTTAAAAATACCATTTCATATCTGCTTTAAATGAAAATAAATATTTAAGACCCCTTTATTATTTCAATCATATTCAAAAATAGGATTCAAATATAGCATACCTTCCTTGAAAGGTAAAATAATTTTCTGAGACCCCTGTTTCAGAAATTGTGCTAAAACCTATTTAACTGTTGAGCAACTTAAGACATTGTCTAAATCAATCAGGTTGAATTTTGGCGATTTTTGTGATGTATGCCCACCCATCAGAGGCACAGATTCCCAAATTTCTTTACTAGCCATGGTGGCTTGTAATGGAAAAAACTTGGAAGCCAGCAGAAAAGTTAGGCGCCAACATTGTGGTTTGTAACCTCAATAGTTACAAGCCAAGAAAAAACGAATTATATCCCCCATTGCCTCTTTATTAAGAGTTTTCTACATAGGCCCCGGGAACATGTATAAAATAGCGAGTACAGATGCATTTCTGGGCTACAGCTATCAGTTTTTCTGTGTTGACAAACATGACTGCATAAATATACTATGATTACTCCACTGAAACCGCTACTCATTCCTGGAAAGACTCTTCGTGGGCTCGGAGTCAGAGACCAGAACTTATTTCAATCGATTCGTTTTTTGGAAAAAAAATCTTTTCAAATATGAATGTCCATTATCGGCTTTCAAAAGCTCAGAGAGCTCATAATCACAGCCTATATTCTTGAAAACTTCAACCTGGTCTGATCTGATCACATTTCTATTCATTAAGAAGATATGATCAGCTAAAAACGATCAAAACTAGAGAAAAGTAAATATTTTTTCCAAATCCATGTTTTGATGTTTTGGTCACGTGACCACACGTGAAAGGTCAGAGGGAATAAAGCTGATTGGTCAAAGAATTCATGACGAACTTTAAAACGGCGGTAAATTCAAATTCAAAACTTATCTGCACAATGATTGGTCAAATAATTCACATTGCCGAAAATTAGACCAATCAAATTCAAAACGCGAGACACAAAAAGGAGACAAAATATTAAAACTACAAGATAAGGAATAGTTCCCAGAATACTTTGCGCGTTAATCGGGCCTATCAACGATCTCAATTACATTCATACCACTAAATTGATGCCGGGAAAGCACACTTTCGAAAAAATTGTAAATATCGATCAGCTGATTTAGCAAAAGCAGCATTAAATTCACGTGAAATCTTCGTCTTTTCACCAATTTTCACGATTGAAATGACAGGATAACAGGTATATTATAGTGGGAACTCTTGTACGCCAGGAATACGTGTAAATTTGATGGCAGAGGTCCGTGTTTGGCGCCCGGGGCCAAAGTGAGGCGCATCTGGCGTCCTGGCGTGTGGGAATCTGTGGCTCTGCCACCCATCCAGCAACATGAGACACTTTGAAAAAATAAATCCATAGTTGATTTCAGCAATTGTTTTTGGAATAAAACTGAATTTAACAGTGATTTTTGCATTTCAGCACATTTGGGTATTACACAGTTCGTGACCGGTTACCTGTGATTTTGACCAAGGTTGTGGACACCCTTTGTCGCATGAATAGTAAGATTGCTGATCAGTATGATGAAGTAAGTCTATGTTAAAATGTTGCCTTGGGGCCTTTACACAGTGAGGCTTAGTATAGTATATCAATCAATAGACTTGGAGATAACCATCTTATCTGAAAATATTTTAAAGTCACTTTGCAGTTAACCTTAAATGTACCACTATCAGACTATTGACCTTAGTTTTAATACCAGTGACATAATTTCATTTGTACACCCATGTTTTGTTCAATCAAACCCTCGGGACCAGATTAAGGTTACTTAAGAATATTGATCCTTTTATATGCTGATTGATGAAGGAGATAGGACTCTGCTCAAAAATATTTAAGGTGGCTGATGAATTCAAAATGGCTGTCTTATTTTGTAAAACAAATGTAATTTTGGAATTTCCAGTTCTGGGAGAAACAATTCTGATTTCAGAATAGGAATCCATACAAAATCTCATGGTTCTGATACCCGTATAAATTATACCAAAGAAAATTTGATTTGACATCCTTTAGACACCAATATTTCAAAACCTTATAGAACCTGGATGAACTTCTTCTAGGTTCTTATCAATTATCATGTCATAATGTATTTTTGCAGGAACATGCTGAGAGTCTCAAAAATATATGTGGTCGGATATCTCAGCTAAAATATGAAGTACAAACCAATAAACCAGTAACTCCAATTCAAGATGGCTGGGCTGATGCCATAGTTTGGGATAAATATTACAAGAAGCAGAAGACACTAATAGATGGGGCTGAACCTTGCTGGTTTGTTAGTCCATGGCTCTATATGGAGTGTTACATGTACAGAAAGATCATGGAGTCCATTCACTTATCGTGAGTTGCTATTTTGTGAAACGTTTTCCAACTGTATTATGTCATTAAAATTTTCAGTGAATCATCTTTCAAACATAGAAGCACAAAACCCTGATGTACAATTATCTGTGATACAGAACGGATGATCTGTTCACTATGGGGGACCAATCTATTTTTCTTTGAAATGCCAAGAAGATTTCATAATTTATTTTCTCACTTCTCTTTCTTTGACTAGAGAAAATTGACCATCTAAATGCAATATGCTTGTTTGATGTTCAAAAATACTCTGCTCTGATAATGGCACCAACGCATCATATTCTAAAATGTATGTTTTTCTTTTGAACTTTTAATGTTTTTTGTTACAGCTGGACATTCTTTAAAACAAACCATAGCTCATTCTATTGTGTTGCTACCTAATATCCCAGATGCGAGTAGAAATAATCTTGATTTATGTCAGTAAAATTCACAATTTAGTCAAACTGGTGTCATATTTGGAATCTACATATAAAATTACATCTGAAAATGTGGTTTTGAAAAGAGTTTATCAACTTTGAAAATTTAATTTTCTTTGAAAATGTGACATATAGGTCGGGGAGATTCCCCATAGACCCCATGTTGTAAAACTACAAAAAGTGAAATATCTAAAACTGATGCATATTCAAGTTTAACTCATTCGCTACTAAGGACTTGATATGACGTCATAAAGCACATACGTTGACTACTAAGGACGTGATATCAAGTCCAAGCACAAACCCAATGTATTTTGGGGAATCTTGTAACCATGACAACTTATAAAATGGGACTTAAAAAAACTATTCATTTTGAAAGAGTATATCATATGCTTTAAAATGATATATAACACTATATATGTATGCCCATGTATATACAATATATATTATTTCAGAGGTACCATATATGGCAATTTTCAAAAAATCGTCAGTATTATAGTGCTTTTTGCCCCAGTATTGAATGAGTTAAGGGAATTTTGTAATACCCTGCCATGTTATTACCCCCGAATCAGCCACCTGGTGGCGAAACTGGTAACTACCTACTCGCATCTGAGTAATTGGAGTTTGAATATTGAATAAATATAGATGGGTATCTGTTTCAGCAAGCTGCTGGGTGACAAAATTGATCCATTCAGGGATCAGAAAGAACAAGCATTTATGACATCACAAGCAGCAACAATCGCTGTTTCCATGGACCTCATGGAGAAACTGACCAAACTTGATGAAATTGCTGAACCATTAAAATATATTTTCGTACATTATTTAAAGGTACATTTTTCATGAAAAAATATTGCGTTTAATTTGAAAAGATGATTTCTGTTAATTAAATTGATTTCTTTGCATTTAATAGTTTAGTAGTACCCACCTCCCTTAGAAACTTGTATGAAAATTAGAAGATTTAAATGAAGTTCAAAAAAGTTGAAATTTTATGTGTGAAAAGTTTTTTATTTCCAATCAAACAACTATGTTTATATAACCACTACATCAATTGGCTTGAAATTATACATGTGCACATACCTCATTTTAAAGTTACCCTTTCAATGTTCAGCCTAAACATGGCCTTCGGCCTTCAAAGGTTTTACAAGGGTCTTTTAAAAGCATTTACATCACGTGAGCGAGCCGTGGTACTATTTATGAAGATTTAGACCCCTTGATTATAATTTTTAAGTCATGTGAAATCATATTTTCAGATTGCACTGTGGGGGAACAAGTGTGACCTGTCTATATCAGGGGGTGATGAAAATACACAGACAAGCTGTCCCTTGGCTCAAGTAGACATCCTAGAACCATACATCTTAGTGGACAATACGAGCCAAGTGTGGGACACCCTCGTTGCTATCAAAAAAGCCAAATCAGGCCATGGTCAATTGGATATTGTTCTTGATAATGCTGGCTTTGAATTAGTCACTGATCTCTGTCTCGCTGAACTGTTGTTATCCAGTGGCTTTGTCAGTAAGGTTGTCTTCCATGCCAAGGCAATGCCATGGTTCGTGTCTGATGTCACACTGCATGACTTCCATTGGACACTGCAGATGTTCTGTGCATCAAACAACATGGGGATGTCTCATTTTGGGAACCTTTGGCAATCGAGGCTAAAGGATGGATCATGGTCACTTAGGGTACATGAATTTTGGACATTACCACATAGCTTTCACGAAATGGAAGAAACAGTTCCAAAACTTTATGCTGAACTTGAGCTGTCTGATTTCATCTTCTTTAAAGGAGATTTGAACTATAGGAAACTAACAAGTGATAGAAGCTGGGATTTTACGACATCATTCCAGAAAACTCTGCAGGGTTTTACTCCTGCTCCACTGTGTACTCTCAGGACTCTGAAATGTGATACTGTTGTTGGCTTGAATCCAGGACAAGCTGAGAAGGTGGAAAAGGAGGATTCTGATTGGATGATAACAGGAAGTTATGCTGTTATACAAGCATATATTCCATAGAGCAAATGACCTTTGAAATCTTTAAACTGCATTTCTAGAATTGTCAGTGATCAAATCTTTTTGGGGTAATGCGACATTTGAATGGTCCTCAAGAAAGTCCACAGTAAGTCAGATATTGAGAAAGAAGATTTCAAATGGACATCAATTTCTCAAAACTGGGTTGAAAGACTTAAGACCATTAAGAGAAGCTGTCCATTTGTCTGTCCGGGTGATAATTCAAATAACAGTTGCAGACTTGCTTTAGGGAATCTAGTCTTATCTATTTATTTCTCAATAAATTGCTCAACTGTAGTATTTTTTCCATATAGGCCTGGTGAATATATACTGTACATACATGTATAATATTTAGGATGATCTAATGATTCAGTCGATCGTATTTGTATCAGAATCAATAGTACATCTGGAGGGAGTTTCTGGGACCTTGTTTTTTATTACTTGATTTTACATATTTCTACGAATTATTAGAACTTAGTTTTTTAACTTTGAGTAATAAGTTTAGATTAATGGAGTAATGTTTTTGGATTTGATATATAAGTGGTTGCTATGTAAACATGTCTTATTGAAGATTTATCAGTCCACATTGGATGAGTGTCATCAGCTTTGAAAAGCAAAGCAGATACAGATCCTAAATATTGGTTAATTGTGTGTATTATGTGAGATTTTGGATCTGCTTTATGATTGGTTGCCATGGTAGCCAGGTTTTCATTGGATATTTATCCCATCGAACGAAGTTCGGAGGGATATAGTGAATGCCTCTGTCCGTTTTTACGATTTTTGCTGTAACTCGAAAAGTAGTGGAGTGATTTTGTTCATATTTTGTATGTGAATACTATAAGCATGGCACACTGTCTAATGACACTTTTGGTAGAAGGTGGCCATTTTGAAAAATGGCAGCCATTTTAACGTTTTCTACTATAACTCGAAAAATAGTGGAGCGATTTTGTTCATATTTAGTATGTGAATACTATAAGCATGGCACACTGTCTAATGACACTTTTGGTAGAAGGTGGCCATTTTGAAAAATGGCCACCATTTTAACTTATTTTACTATAACTTGAAAAGTAGTGGAGTGATTTTGTTCATACTTGGTATATGAATACTATAAGCATGGCACACTGTCTAATGACACTTTTGGTAGAAGGTGGCCATTTTGAAAAATGGCCACAATTTTAACTTATTTTACTATAACTTGAAAAGTAGTGGAGTGATTTTGTTCATATTTTGTATGTGAATACTATAAGCATGGCACACTGTCTAATGACACTTTTGGTAGAAGGTGGCCATTTTGAAAAATGGCCACCATTTTAACTTATTTTACTATAACTTGAAAAGTAGTTGAGCGATTTTGTTCATACTTGGTATATGAATACTATAAGCATGGCACACTGTCTAATGACACTTTTGGTAGAAGGTGGCCATTTTGAAAAATGGCCACCATTTTAACTTATTTTACTATAACTTGAAAAGTAGTGGAGTGATTTTGTTCATATTTGGTATGTGAATACTATAAGCATGGCACACTGTCAATTGACACTTTTGGTAGAAAGTGGTTGTTTTGAAAAATGGCTGCCATTTTTGCTATTTATTGCTATTTACTTTGTTTGTAAAAATGCCAGCCATGGCTGTTCGATGTGATTTGCTACGCATTGGCGTTGCTGTCTAGTCTAACATGTTGATGGAAAAGTTATATATTATTTTAACTTACATCTTTCATTATTACCTATTTAATACTAGGATGAAATATGGATAAATGTTTAAAAACATTGTTTTAAAAAATTGTATTGCAATCTTACTCTTTCAATAGTAGAATGGTGTTTTGTCAAATTTTGAATGCTTCAAACTGCAACTGATGCCATAATACATGTAGTAACAAACACAAAAGATGGTATGTGTAATTTACTCTAAAATTTGATGGAAAGTGCAATTTTTTAAAATGCTTCTAAAATAAATATAAAATGATATTGGGGAAATATGAAGAAATTCTGTTGTTAGATATTACTCAAGGAGGATTGGCTCCCAGGATCGACAATCGATATTTTCCAACAATGAAAACGTCGAAATGTCGTTATTTTCGGAAATTATTACCGACTATAAGTTCAAAATAAACAGTCCAAAAGATTCGAACCACTATCTCGATCATTTCTTGTGAGTTTTGGAATTTTACGTTTAGGAATAAGACCAAAATTCACCATTCAAATGTTGAAGTGAACAAAATGACGGCTGTCTGAATTCAAATTTTGAATCACGACATTTCCATATATGGGACAGAATATCGATGTTGCACTCTGGGAGCCAATCCTCCTTGGATATTACTTAAGGCTTCAAAATGAGTCATAGATAGTCTGAGATAGGTTAACCAGAGATATAATATTCACAAGATGCTGTCTAGGCTACTTGACAATGTCAAAGATTTGAGTGTCTAAAATCACTTAATGAATAGTTCTTAACAAAATCTTTATACACATAGGGTAAGGCAAGCAATTTCATACAGTGATCCCTTGAATTTCATATATCTTCTTACAATTGAGGCAGCTGTACTTTGAAGATATATCCATGTCTCCTCTTGGAGTATACACAACGAGAATTCAGTTAATGGGACCCTGTGATAACGAAGAGGCAATCAATCCATTGTCATACATTTCTATGAAGTTAACCTCATATTCACCATAAGGATGATGCATGACTATGCGTTTTCTTCATGTACAATCTGATTAGTTTTACTAAGTTGCTAGTATTTCTCCAAAGAGATGGCTCGTGCTTATCCATCGGTTTCAGTTAATTTTGGTCATCCAAATTTTAGTACCTTAAGAATTCACTTTTCCTTTGATGAAATAAGTCTCAAAGCATTAAACAGTATTATAAAACAAAAGGTTTATTAGGTCAACATTTCTGATAAAGTATCTTGATAGATTTATTGCCCCTCCATAATTAGACTGTGAAATCATTTAATAAGTAACCCTACAAGGCTCTGTATACAAAGTAATATGATATTATAGAAGTATAATGAACCATTGTTATAGCAACATAAAGGTGATTGATGTGGACCACAGGGATATAGGGTCAAATTGAATCTTGGTCTTTTGGTAAAATGAATGGCTTGTCTCTAGCTAAATATGGCAAATTATACAAAATTGGATAAATACTCTATAATCCCAGCCTTGGCTTCCTGAAACCACCATGTATATAGAGATCATACAGCACAAACTAGTCATTATCAGTTTAATTAATGTTTATTAGAACTCACTCTCTGTACACATATACATGTATTATCAATCTTTATAAATCAGTACATCATGTAAGATCTTGCTTGCATCGGTGTATACACTACGTAACAGTTAATACAAAACAAATACATATATCTTAAAACATTTTATTGACATGAAATTCAGTCTCATGAAAAAGCAAATTGTGAATTGTATGTAAACTTCACAAATGTAACGAGGCAGTTTATGAAAAATGCATTAAAAGTGTAACAAATTATCGATGCCATCCCTGGAGCCAAACTCTAATTGCAAAACATCAGTGTCAGGTGGCTAGAATAATATGCTATCACTTCATGGCGGTGACAATAACAGTGAGCACAAGGACATGGCATGAACAACATGTCCCCACCCTTAGGTAATCTAGATTTCGTCTAACTTAACAATCTTAAATCATGTTGTAGATTGGTATAACCTCGAGACATGTTTTTAGGCCTCAGCTCTAGACATAAACCTAAGCTCTACAACCGACTGAACAAAATTCAGAACTTTATCACAAGACTGTTTTTCTATGTCAAATGTTATAGTCTTCTATGCGCATTTAACTACTTACACTTTTTTTAACTATAAATACATAGAGAATATATTATTATTTTCTAAATACATATAATCACATGCTACACTTGGTTAGACCATACAAAATACATAAACATCATCCAAATATTTTTCAAATATTCGGCAATAATTTACCAAACCCACTTTGTTTAACCAGAAAATATGATTGTCGTGGAGTAACATCTTCTTACTTGTTATTTGTCTAATCCTTAATTTGAGAAATCCTCACCCTTTATCATTTACATAATTAAATCGCCCAATAGATTTGGGCCCAAAGTTGTATTTTGGCTATGTACCAACTTATGCTGGTTTTGGTTTGAGCAAACATTACTTATAATTCAATAAAATTATGTTAAGCTCAAGAAATGGTTCATTTCAAAAAATTATGAAATTGCAAAATCTCTAACAATGAACTTTGTGGCAGTCAACAGATAGCACCTGTCAGAGTGGTTACATATGTTGCAATCAAATTATGTTGAGCTCAAGAAATGGTTCATTTCAAAAAATGACAAAAGAGCAAAAACTCCAAAAATGAATCATCAACAGATAGCACCTGTCATAGTGGTACATATGTTGCATGTTACCCTCTTTAAACCTGATATACTTCATTATCTGCTTTTTTGCAGTTTGAATATGTGACTGTTTCTTGTTTGTTTCACTTTGTACAAGCTCATTATAACACATGCCTGCCATGATATTTTGGCTCTACTCTTCAATAACAGATTTCACACCCCCTACTTGCATAATATTACACAATCAATTTGTGATTTCATTGCCATAATGGCAAAGTAAATAGAAACGCTTTAAAACATACATAGTATGTCTTAACTAAGTCAATTAGACAAATACTTCTCAAGTTGCCATGGTAACAGGTGTTACAGTGTGCCAATAGTGTGAAATAGTGTGAGCAAAACGTGTCCTAAAAACTATGTCTACCTACTTAACAATAATGTGTAATGAGCAATTTCTAAGATCATTCAGTATTATGTGTTGATTCATCAGAGCTGAAATATTGAGCCTCTTCCTAATTTTGGCACATCAATGTTCAAGGACCAGATACATGTAGTAGCCCTAACAACATTAGTATTGACCTAAAGTCATATATATCCAGGCTACTACTATTGAGCATTTCATTATGATCTCCAAGTTAACAGACTTTTCGGAGTACACATAATTTATTCTGTTGTCATCTTTATTAGATGGCTGTTGTGGCTTCTTAGCATAATAACTGTCTGGTTATTTTATGTTGTAAACATAGTAGGCCAGGCAAATTTCGCATCTCTTTTGTAGACAAATACACAGTCATTATTTTCCACCATTGCATCAATCTTAATAGTGTTTGGCCACTGGTTATCCAGGAGTTTGGTTTCTGGAATAGAATAAATTAAATTGAAATGATAAATGAATAATGCATGTAGTTTTGAAAGGGAGAATCAGATCTAGCGAGCAAGCTAAACAAAGATTGTTTCAACTTTAGAATATTTTTGGTTCACATCATTCCTCGTCCTGTCTATATTTATGTCCAAATCTTTTAAGTGCACACTTTATTTCAGGAAAACTAAAAGATTTTTTTACAATTATAATGTATTATTTTCCTACAATCATGGTTACAATTTTTATTATTTGGGAAAATTAAAACATTTTTGGCCAAATTTCCCCACTTGGAATCTTTAATAACTCCTCCAATTTATATATCGCATATCTTTTGAGAGATATTGTATTTGGGGTTGTAAGGAATACATTGCTAGGTCAGCTGTACACATTGCTTGCAATTTTGTCACCCTCCAATGGATCTGATTCTGCCTTTAACTTAGGGTGACTTGGTCATTAATTGCAACTTTTATTTGACAAGGACCTAGTCAATAAGGCCCAACTAGAAAAAAGACTCATTCCCTGTGTTTGCCAAAATCCATAATTTGATATGAAAAACTATTATGAATTATTTGTCAATGAACTTTTTAGAGAATATTCTTTCTGTTCATAGCAACTTATATGCCTCATGTGGTACATGTAGTTGTATAAAGCATATCTTTGATATATAGGGTGGGCTAAAAATAGGACCACATTGGAAAAAATTAGCTGACTCAATCTATCACTTACCTGTATTATTGATGAGTGAATAGAGGGCATAGTCATTGGCATTGATGATTTTGAACTTGTGAGCTATCATGTTGCCTGAAATAGAAATACATGTACCATATTAAACAAAGTTACAATAATTCCTGTAATTGCTTTACATATTTTTTCTCTGAAATAAGAAGTTACAATTCCATACAAATAAAATGAAATAGTAAATCAATATCTTTATTTGACCTTCTTTGTTCTAATACATACAGTGGTTATAAACAGAAACATACACTATTACACTCACAGACACTTCACATGGATTCATCCACAGCATCACACACTCATCAACACAAACATACTCACCTAAACCCATATACTAATGTACGTTGTAGTATGATATTACTGTTAAACTCAAATAAGAGATTTCATAATTAAACTGATTTATATCAACACTATGTATAACATAGACACTTTATATTTTTTAATTTGAGAATAAGTGTTGGAGTGCGCATGCGCCAAAAGTAAGAAACGTGGAATTTTTAGTGAAGCTATTTGTGCAATTTTTAGTCGACTGTGATACTTATTTTAACTCTAAGAGGTCTGGGGAACTCTATGAAGTACTAAGAGTGCTATCGAAAAGGATTATGGCGTCAATTGTGGACTCTCCATCGAACAATCCCTTCTTGAAACGGTCACGCCCTGATGACAAGGATGATATTCAAGATGGCGACCAGGCAAATAAGCGAATAAAGCAGACCTCAGGTAGCCCCAATAACAGTGACCCAACCCAAACAGTAACGTTGAATACAATTTTTAACATGTTAAACCGTGTACTAGATAATATGGACAAACAAGATGAGCGTATAAAAGCCATTGCCACCGACGTGGTATCTACGTCAGAAATGGCCATCCGTAGCGAATTTGGGCGCAATATCTCAAGGATATCCAACGAACTGAACGACCGTGTGGATAAAATCGAGCAACAGGTCACGTCGTCATTTTCTCGCTTGGATAAAATCGAGACTAACACTAAGGTCAGTGGTGGTACTGACAGCAGGAGTGCGTCGGTAAGTCCGCAACAAAAGCCTGAATTGGCTATTTTTAATCTACCTGAGTCGACTAGTGTGGACGATCTTATTACCAGGGGCCTTGGCTTTAAGATTGGTGATCTGCAAATAGGCCCTGCAAGACGCGTTGGGACCGTTCGAGTAGGAACGACGAGACCTAGAGTCACTATTTTATCAATTGGAAACAATGATGATCTTCATAAAATTTTGAAACAAAAACGAGTATTGAAAAACTCTGCTGAATTTAAATCTGTATATATTAACGTTGCCAAATCCCCCGAAGCACTGAGTCAGGAACGATTAATGCGTAAAATGATACATCAGAGCGTCCAGTCCCATGTCAAATCACTGCAGGGAACTGTTAATAGTCAGGTCTTAAGTTCGGCCCCTATTGTTGCAACAGCTCCCGTTGCCACAACAGCTCCAGTCGCCACAACAGCTCCAGTTGTTCCAGATGCGGCAGCGGTTCCAGTTGCCACAGCAGCTCCAGTTGCCACAATAGCTCCAGATGCCACCACAGATTATACTGCTACATCTATCCCTCCGTCAGGAAGAGTACGCGCTAATGGGACCAATCAGCGAAATGGTGGTAAGGCCAAATCTAAGACTAACACAGGAGCTAATCGTAGAATGGCTTCTAAACCTATCCCACGTCAGTCAATAAGTAATGAACGCTTAACCCAAAGCCAACAATAGGACACATTGGTCGCAGGCTTTTGGAATGTTAGAGGATTTCCAACACAGCCCTATAGTGATAAGTACCAGACCTTGTGTGCCATGATTCGCTTTAACTCATTTGACATACTTGGAATAGCCGAGACTCACTTAATGAATAATGATGTTATTTCAGTTCCTGGTATGACATGGTTTGGGAACAATAGATCTAAGCATATAAGAGCCAGAATAGGCTCTGGTGGTGTTGGTTTCTTAGTGCGAAATTCTTTGATGAATCATTACGAAATAAGTATTTTGAATAGTGATATTGAAGGTATTTTATGGTTACAGTTCAAAGATAAGGTAAACATGCAAAAAACATTTTGTACTTGTGTCGCCTATTTGCCTCCAGAAGGTTGTGTGAGGAGTAACCCAGATCTATTTTTTGATAATCTTCTGACACATATTTATTTGTACCAAGATTTAGGTGAATATTTTATATGTACCGATTGTAACGCCAGAACTGGCAATGGTCTTGATTATATTGCAGGCATAGATAACTTAGGTGATAGAAATGTTGTTGATTTTAAACAAAACGCCTATGGTGCCAAATTGCTTGAATTTTTACAAGATGTAAATTGCTGTATTCTTAATGGGAGAAATTATGTGCATAACGATTTTACGTATATTTCGCCACAGGGCCATTCAGTTGTTGATTATTGTATTGTACCTCACATGTCTTTATCTTTGTTTACTGAGTTAAATGTATGTACCATGTCAAACTTGTGTAATTCAATGGGTATTGTTCCTGATGTACAATTGCCAGATCACTCGTTATTGTTTTGGAAGTTTAAAGTAAGACACAATGCGTCAACAAGTTCAGAAAATGTTTATAATCTGACTGACCAATCAGGTGGCTGTTCTAACCAAAATAGTGTGTATCATAAACACGACACCAGTAATATACCACGTGATTTCATGTTGACTGATGACGTGGTGCATGAAATCGACGGGTTACTTAATAGGATTACTCATGCTGACCAAACGCAACACGCATTGGATAGCATTTATGGCAATTATAGGAAACTATTATCCAATGAGATGGATGGAAAACTTGCTTACAAGGTCATAACACCAGGAGGCGGGAATTCGCGGAAATACTTTCGGCCAAATCGACCTTTTTGGACCGCTGAACTGAATGAACTTTGGATAGCATACAGTAACGCTGAGAAACTATGGCTCAAGGCACAACCGAACTCTGCCCAAAAACAACGTTTGAAACAAGACTACATATATAAGCGTAAGCAGTTTGACATTGTAAAGCGTCGTGAAAAACGCCATTATGTATATAAGCGGCATCAGGAAATGATACGTACTGTTACATCAGATCCGAGAACATTCTGGAAGAAAATAGGCCAAATTGAAGTTAGTGCAGAACGATCTAGTAACATTCCTATGGAAGTTTACGACAACAGCGGCAATATAATAACTGACACACAATTAGTATTGGATAAATGGAAGTCCGATTTTGAATCTTTATATACAGACAGCCACACCGACGAATTCGATAATGAATTTCACAAGGAAGCAAAGGAACACGTAGCTTGTAACACCGTACCTGTTGCTAATCCTAACATAGACAACAGTCTTCTTAACACTGACATTTCAGCTAGTGAAATAGAGGCTGCTTTTCTTGCAGCCAAGCTGGGAAAGGCCGCAAGCCTCGATAGGATTCCTATGGAAGTCCTACTTAACGAACAGTCAATGCGGTTCTTTACATCACTATTTAACTTTTGCTTTAAGAATAACGTAGTGCCCACCGAGTGGAACAACTGTATAGTTCATCCTATTTCGAAAGGAGCCAGTACTGACCCACGTGATCCGTCAACATTTCGTGGAATAACTGTTACTTCTGCTGTTTGTAAACTTTACAGCTGGATCTTAAACACACGCTTAACTAGATTCTGTACAGATAACAACCTTATCCACGACGAACAAAATGGATTTATGAAGGGGAAAAGCTGTCAGGATCACATCTATGCACTTTCATCAGTTATCGACCATAGGATTAAGTCTAAACAGAGCACATTTGTGTGCTTCGTGGACGCAATGAAAGCCTACGACAAAATCGACAGGCATTTGCTCTGGTATAAACTCAGTCATATCGGAATATCTGGACGATTCGTGGGCGCACTCCAAGCCATGTACAAGGACGTTAAAAGCTGTGTAAATGTAAATGGACATCTTACCGACCCACTGCAGGTGAATTCCGGCCTAAAACAGGGCTGTTTGACATCTTGCTTGCTGTTCAACTTGTATATAAACGATCTTATTGACGATATAAAATCACTGAATCTTGGAGTTGACGTCAACGGTGAAAATATCTCTATCCTCGTGTACGCAGACGATATTGCTCTCATAGGTGACTCTGAACAGGCAATACAAAGTATGTTAAATGTACTTCATGCTTGGTGCTTCAAATGGAGAATGTCATTGAACACCTCAAAAACCAACGTGGTCCACTTCCGTCCAAGATCAGTGCCTTTAAGTAACTTCAAATTCAAATACAACGGCAGTGATATCGAAGTTAAACCATCGTATAAATACCTTGGCCTATGTTTTAACGAGCACATGGATACCACCTTGATCGCGAAATCAATTGCACAATCTGCCAGCCGTGCATTGGGACTTTTAACAGCGAAATATAAAGCATTTGGAGGTCTCCCTTATAAGTGTTTTACCAGATTGTACGAATGCCTTGTGAGACCAATCCTCGAATACGGCTCGGAAATATGGGGACTTAAACAACATGCATGCATTAACGCGGTATTCCACAGAGCGTGCAGAATATTCCTCGGAGTTGGAAAGTATACCCCAAACCTTGCTGTACGCGCAGAAATGGGCTGGTGTTCTCCATACGAGCGGCAGATACTTGTAGCAACTCGATACAAAGATCGTTGTGAAGCCCTGGAGTCCAGTAGATTAACACGACGTATTTACAACTGGAATCGAGATCATGGCTCGCTTAGGATTAAGAATTGGTACTACAACCTTCACCACATCTTAACAAATGATCTGTCACTTTCCATTGACTCTCCTATTGCATTGATAGCTGCAGAACTAAAGGAAAATGCCTTCCGAAACTGGCATGACACCATCTGGAATGACGGCAGACGTCCAGAAGGCCAGGGCAACAAATTAAGAACCTACAGAACGTTCAAGCATGATCTAAGTACTGAGCCTTATCTCACATCTCATCTTGCCATGCAGGATCGGAAGGCGCTAGCCTCTGTGAGGTGTGGCGTAGCTCCTCTGCGAATAGAAACTGGACGGTATGAACGTTTGTCAGTCCCGGAAAGACTTTGTACCCTTTGTAATGCCAATGCCATAGAGGATGAACATCATTTTTTGTTAAAATGTCAATTTTACTCCAATTCCAGAAATGATTTGTTTTCAAAGGTAGCAAATAAAATTCCAGGCTTTCAGGAATTTTCTGACAATGATAAATTCAATAAATTGATGTCCGATGATAGGATTTTTATATATGTGGCAAAAGCCTGTGGCCAAATGCTGAAGATTAGGGAACATCACCTGTTTAGGTAATGTCCCCAGTGTCCTATAGGCCGTTATCGGTCTGGGGTTAATTGTATAATTGTATATTTTAGTGATATTTTATACATGATGTAATTGTTTTATACATGTATTTATTATATAACCCATGACACTTTAATAAAATTTTACAATACAATACAATACAATTAACGTTGATCGATGAAACAATGATTTGATAATCAAATCCAGTGATCTCCCCAGGATTTTTCCTCAAGTGGGTGCAAAATTCTCATTTTCAAAATTCACACTGAAATTGGTCAAAATATGCTCATTTTTCATGATTTTTCTCATTTTCAAGTGGGTGCAAATGAATTTTCAGGTGGGTGCAAGCTGATTATCAAAATCTCAGGTAGGTGGTGCGCCCATTTGCTTTAATGATTTTCTAAAACCTAACTTACAGACTTCTTTGGTTGTCATGTTTGGTCTTACAGGGAGAGTCTTAGTCTTGATGCTGTCATTGAACTCATCAGGCATGGCAACACGGATGAACCCCTGCTGCTCTGTAAGTGTGTTGCTCCTGGCTTTGCTCAACTGAAATATACCATTGCAATGGAATGAAATAACTATAATGATTAACATGCATTGAACTCATCAGGCATGGCCACGCGGATGAATCCCTGCTGCTCTGTAAGCGTGTTACTCCTGGCTTTGCTCAACTGAAATATACCATTGCAATTGAATGAAATAACTTTAATGATTAACATGTATTGAACTCATCAGGCATGGCCACGCGGATGAATCCCTGCTGCTCTGTAAGCGTGTTGCTCCTGGTTTTGCTCAACTGAAATATACCATTGCAATTGAATGAAATAACTTTAATGATTAACATGCATTGAACTCATCAGGCATGGCCACGCGGATGAATCCCTGCTGCTCTGTAAGCGTGTTGCTCCTGGTTTTGCTAAACTGAAATATACCATTGCAATTGAATGAAATAACTTTAATGATTAACATGCATTGAACTCATCAGGCATGGCCACGCGGATGAATCCCATCTGCTCTGTAAGCGTGTTACTCCTGGCTTTGCTCAACTGAAATATACCATTGCAATTGAATGAAATAACTTTAATGATTAACATGCATTGAACTCATCAGGCATGGCCAAACGGATGAATCCCTGCTGCTCTGTAAGCGTGTTACTCCTGGTTTTGCTCAACTGAAATATACCATTACAATTGAATGAAATAACTTTAATGATTAACATGCATTGAACTCATCAGGCATGGCCACGCGGATGAATCCCTGCTGCTCTGTAAGCGTGTTACTCCTGGCTTTGCTCAACTGAAATATACCATTGCAATTGAATGAAATAACTTTAATGATTAACATGCATTGAACTCATCAGGCATGGCCACGCGGATGAATCCCTGCTGCTCTGTAAGCGTGTTACTCCTGGTTTTGCTCAACTGAAATATACCATTGCAATTGAATGAAATAACTTTAATGATTAACATGCATTGAACTCATCAGGCATGGCCACGCGGATGAATCCCTGCTGCTCTGTAAGCGTGTTACTCCTGGCTTTGCTCAACTGAAATATACCATTGCAATTGAATGAAATAACTTTAATGATTAACATGCATTGAACTCATCAGGCATGGCCACGCGGATGAATCCCTGCTGCTCTGTAAGCGTGTTACTCCTGGCTTTGCTCAACTGAAACATACCAGTACATAAAATCAATGGAATGAAATAACTAAAATATAATGATTAACATGTATTGAACTCATCTGGCATGGCCACACGGATGAATCCCTGCTGCTCTGTAAGCGTATTACTCCTGGCTTTGATCAACTGAAATATACCATTGCAATTGAATGAAATAACTTTAATGATTAACATGCATTGAACTCATCAGGCATGGCCACACGGATGAATCCCTGCTGCTCTGTAAGCGTGTTACTCCTGGCTTTGCTCAACTGAAATATACCATTACAATTGAATGAAATAACTATAATGATTAACATGCATTGAACTCATCAGGCATGGCCACGCGGATGAATCCCTGCTGCTCTGTAAGCGTGTTACTCCTGGCTTTGCTCAACTGAAATATACCATTGCAATTGAATGAAATAACTTTAATGATTAACATGCATTGAACTCATCAGGCATGGCCACGCGGATGAATCCCTGCTGCTCTGTAAGCGTGTTGCTCCTGGTTTTGCTAAACTGAAATATACCATTGCAATTGAATGAAATAACTTTAATGATTAACATGCATTGAACTCATCAGGCATGGCCACGCGGATGAATCCCATCTGCTCTGTAAGCGTGTTACTCCTGGCTTTGCTCAACTGAAATATACCATTGCAATTGAATGAAATAACTTTAATGATTAACATGCATTGAACTCATCAGGCATGGCCACACGGATGAATCCCTGCTGCTCTGTAAGCGTGTTACTCCTGGCTTTGCTCAACTGAAATATACCATTGCAATTGAATGAAATAACTTTAATGATTAACATGCATTGAACTCATCAGGCATGGCCACGCGGATGAATCCCTGCTGCTCTGTAAGCGTGTTACTCCTGGCTTTGATCAACTGAAATATACCATTGCAATGGAATGTATTATAGAAGATTTATATTGTCTGTAATGTCTACTCTTCACAAATATTGCAATAATTTGGATTCAAGCAGCATTTTCTTACTAACAATAGAGAAGAGCTTGGGAGTATTAGTTACCTCTAGAGAAGCAGGTTGGCTGCTTGCAGTTTCATGGAAGTTCTTCAGGACATGAACTGCACTACTAAGGGTAGTTAGGTAGTAGCCCCCCTCCCCATTCAGGACAGATGGGTGCAGGAGACCCCACATGTAGTCAGCCTCCACCTCAGCCATTACCATACCACACTGGACTAGCACATAGATGAACATAGGCAGGAAATCTAAAATAACACCGTATAAAACAATCAGCACAAAGGGCAACATTCAAAATTATTCTCAATCCTAGTTGTTTTTAAATATTCACTTTTATTTTACAAAATAAAAAATGAAGTGCCTTTCAGGTAAGTCTATGAAGTAGGACACAAATCCATTAATACATAAGAAATATGTACATTTATCATACTGTCGAATAGGGGGTTGGTAAGAACACAGATTTGGTTTGGCCTAGCCTATAATTTTTTTGTTTATTGTGTAATATCTTACCATCTGCTCCCATTGATGATGCCTGTCTTCCACTGTTATTTTCTTGCACCTACAATGTTAAAGTCTAGAATAAGTTTATATTCATTAACAGCCTAAACACTATACAAGGGACTCTTATAGTATTATGTATGATATACATTAAGAATGAGAAATCATCATTCCACGGAATGTCCAATGTCCATTGTACAGAATATCTAAGAATAAGAACTGTTCCTTGTACAGAATATCTGAGAATTATTTATAATTGAACAGAATTGAGTAGCAAATATGTAAGTACAGTATTATAATATATTACCACAAGATAACCTACATTGTTGTATATTGCAGATGTTGCACCAAGAAGATTTTCCAATTTCTTCACTGGAGAATAGGCTCGTTGCATTTTACTGAAGAAATGTTTTATCACGTCCATTGTGCTGGGAGGGGGTGGGTTGAGACCTGCCTAGAAACAAAAATATAATTTGTACATAAATACAAGTACTGATTTTCCTACAGAAATGGAAATTGTGTTTCGGAGCAAGTTCAGAGGGCAACACTACATGCACAATATATAGTGCATGCTTAAGAGAATTAATTGTATTTTATATTGAAATTTCACTTTTCATCTATGAATAGAGTAAATAGCCTTAGCAATTTGGTAAAACATGGAAATGTTTTTTTTGAAATCATATTATCTGAACCAATTACACATGCCAGCAACCTGTATTCATGTATATAGTCCTGCACTATTTGAGCAGGATTCATTGCACAAGTGTAGAGGTATTTCTAAATAGTTGTCCACTTGTCATCGTAAAACATTCTATATACTGCCAAAAAGCAGTTGCATAATATTCCTTACCTTAACACCTATCTCCTCAGCAGTCTTACTTTTAGCAAAGTTAATATTGGCTGACATCAGGGACAAATTACCATTCCTGAAAATAATACACTGATGTAAAAGACAGGGTAGGCCAACAAATTTGTTGCTTTTTTGCTTATTTCATATTCAATTTGTATATTGAAGGGGAATGAATCCAGATGCCCTATCATTTATCTGCGGCTCGAATCAAAGGAAAAAAGAAAGAGGAGTTTTTATATTATTAGGAGAAAAGTGATTTGATTTCAATAGTTATTCAACCATTACATACTTATATATTCTATGCATTGAAAGTTGCATATTGGTAGCTAGTTAATGGTATGGTGTTAAAAATTCACAAATAAGACATCTGAAAGTTGCAACAGGAAATTATACAGCAATGTAGGGCACCCTCTAAGAGGGTTGTTGTAATGTGGTTGTGATAAGTAACTTACTTGTTGTAATCACTGTTGTAAAGTCTGTAAATGTGATCTTTAAGTGGCTTAACTACACAGCGATGTAGGGCACCCTCTAAGAGAACATCAATGTTCAGAAACTCATCAGATTTCAACTTAAATAAAAGAATAAATTCATACATCATCATATAAATCATAACCAGGCTTATCAACTTATCACATGAATTTGCTTGCAACTTAAAATCTAGTAAAATTTTCATATATGTGTGATTTGAAATCAGAATCAAGTCAAAATGACTGCTCAAATAAAAGTAAGCAATATTGTATGAAGAAAATACGTTTTAAGCTTAAAATCCTGTATAATACATCACGTTTTCCTACTATGGTGGCCAGACTACTACAGTTAACTCACCTTTGTTCTTTCCCTCTCAATGACCTCCTCTAGCTGACCTTCCCCATGTTTCACCAAGTAGTTCTTAATCCCATTCATAAACTGGCGTATGTTCCTCACCACGACACTAGGGTTAGTCTCCGTGCTGTCTCTTGTACACTGAATGAAGTTCTCCACTGTACTACCAAAAGTAGTCTTTTTGTCTACTGCAAGTCTATTTAAACAACAGAAACTTAGCTCTTGATTTTTAGAATAAAGATTCAAATCAAATATACAGTACATGTACCAGTATATACAAGACAAGGCATTACCATGCAAAATATCCTCACCTGCCATTTGTTACAGACACCAAACACCAACCACCGAACCTTATAAAACTTATAACAATAGAGCACCACTTCTGGTGGTGACATTATAAATTAACCATGCCACTTAAATAAGGATATTTTTCAAAGTCTGAGATATTTAGAAAGTCACTTGAATAGATGACTCACATCAAATATTATTATGAAGGAAATGGTCCATAAGCACACTTTTGAATACTCAAAAATCCTAATTGTTGAAATCGGAATTCTGCAACCAGATGACAAAGAATCAATACTTTGAAATAACTGTTTTCTATTTACTATGGCATACTTACTTTGATATATAGTCTCTGATTCTCACGCCTGGTTCCCGATTTCTTGTTTTTAGACTGATCAACCTGGGTGTGGATAACAATGGGAGGATCATATCCTTAAAGTTGCCACTTATTACACTTAGCCTGTTCTTCTTCTTCTCATTGAGCATGTTGTTTTCATACTCAGTTGAGATAGATGTGCTACTACTGTTTAAGTCTTTGATTTGCTTAACAGGTGTTTTGTTATCAATTGATTGATCTGATGCTATTGAGAGGCGACTGTTCAGCTCCACTCCCTGGCTACTTTCCTTTGGAGTATCAGAAACTGATGGCTTCTGTTGAGTTTGTTCAGACATTGTTACTTCCTTACTAAGTTCTAAATCGAAAATATGTTCAGAGTTTACACTCATGCTATCGAAAGTTTCATTGCACCTGGAGTCAATAGATGGACACATTGAGCTGATTCGTGGAGTTTCTGCATCATGGATCCCAATGTCGTCCATTGGCATTGAATTTGGCCAATTTTGTTCACTAGCTGACACATAGATATCACTATGATGGTCACTACTAGGTTGTTCAGAGTGTGTAGTTCTATCCATTGTTAATAAGGCATCCCATAATGAGCTATCCCAGGGTTGCTCAAATACAGTTTTAATACTTCCAGTAGTGCACATTGTATTACTTCGAACTAATCCAGATACGTTATCATAGGCAGAAAAGCGATCTTGATTTTCTAGTAATAATGCTTTGGTTGGTTTATGAATTTCAAGGGCCTTTACAGGAATTTGTGTTTCTGCTAAGGAGTCTCTCTGAGGCTGGGTGGGGAACTTCCCCAGAGTGTGAGTGCCCAAGGTATCCTGATAGGCTCGCCCTGTACCCCCAGGGGTGAGGTCAATAAGTTCATCTATGGCAGTGGGAATCTGATGTTTAGCTTTCTGTGGGAAGGTGTTATATTTGGATGCATCAGATGGAGCCTGAGAGACCACAGGAGGTTGGTTTAGGCTATATGTACGCGATACTGGTACCTGGGTTATCAAACCCGTGGACTGTCTGTTTGTATTTGGTTGCCAAGATGGTTGAGGGTGTTGGGTGTTTTGCTGATAGTTACCCTGTAATTGCTGCATTTGGTTTTCTTGTATCGACACCCGTTGGTTAGCTGGTTGTCTTTGATAGCCTTGGGAAGGTTGCCATTGGTTTCCCCACATTCCTGGCTGCATGGTGTGCCTACCTTGGTGCAAAGCAGTAGGCTTCTGAGGCCTGACTGGGGCAGAAACTCTACGAGAAGGACCTTGGGATGGGGGCAGTTGGTTGCCAGTAGGCTTAAATGATGAATCAGATGGACTCTTCTTAATCCCTGGAACACCACTCACACGGACAGCTTGACTTGGTGAATTATGAACACCTTCAATTTTCCCAATTAGGGAGTCATAGGGCTCAGCATATGCAGGGCTTGAATTTTTTCTTGCCCTGGGTTGCACACTAACTAATAAATCCTGTTTGACTCGTGTCATTTGAGGGTTATTGGTTCCCTGGACTTGATCACCAAAGTTAAATGTGAAAACATTTGGCGGCTGCATACTTTGCGGCCTTTGAGGGAAAATGGGTGGTTTTCTTGTTGGCTCAAAATTCGGATTTGAAAATCCAGAGAATCTGGCGGGCTTGCTGTCTATGGTTACTGTTGCTATGTGTTGTATTGTCGTGGTAACTGGTTGTGTGGTAAGAGGCGTATTCTGCCGCCATATATCTTCATAATCAGTTAGCTTGTCAGACAGGTTGCTGCTAAAGTATGTACTCTGTGGTTGACCTGATTTATCTGAAGGGAGTGGCGATGCTTGTTGCATTAAATCAGTGGTTGCAGTAGTCATTTCAGTAAGTTGCTGCATTAAGTCAATAGTTGCAGAGGCAATAGATGTTGTACTCACAAATGTTGTATTAGCTTCTAGTGATGTGCTGGCTACATTAGATTTACTATCCACATTACCAATGAGAGATTTCAGATTATTGCCTTCATTAAAAGTTTCACCTGTACTTCTTTGTTGTATGTTACTTGAAATTGCACTTTGTAATTTATTCGTATCATTCTCTGCCAACGAGAAGGTAGTCAATATTGGACTTGACACATTTTGAGTATTTTGTTTGCTTTGGATGTTGATAGATGGCACTGTTTGCTGTTTGCTATGATGTTTTTCAGCGACAGGATTTCCAGGACTTAGAGGGGAATTCCAAAATTCTGAAAATAACGATTAAAAAGATTTACAATGGAGTGGCAAGAATCTTAAAATATGAAGATCTACCAATTTAAATATCAAACAGATATATTTGAACGTGACATATAAGTGAACAAATAGCCAACTTCAAAACAATGACATTGTTTGCAAGGGACAGTTAATTCCAATGGCCTGACTAGAGTGGGGTGCAAACTGTAAGGGGTTGTTGCGGTCGGTACAGTAATAACAAACTGACCTAGGGTATTTAAAGGCAGGCAACAACATCACAGCATAGCACTGTCATATGGAAAACCTTAACTTCAGACAAAATCGATAAAACTATAAAATTTTCTTATTTCTAGAAATAATTGTTGAAATCATTGAAATTATGAATATAAACTGCATTATTCAATATAGGTCAACTTGGGTTCATTAAAAATAGTTTTGTTTTTATTTTTGTTGAGTTCGAGAGAAAAGGAAGTTGATGGCTTTTGTAAAGCAAAATGATAAAAATATGCCACTTTATAGGAAAAAGAAATGAATATTTCTCAACAAATTGTCAATATTACCTTGCCCCAAAAGAGCCAGAGATGACAGTTCACTGTATCCGCAAGCATTTGCTATACTTGGGGGCAGTACAAGCTTGCAGGGGAGCTCATCCCTGGAAGAAAATGGAACGGAGCATATCATGAAAACTGAAAATTCCTTCCTTCAAGATTAAATGACCTGATACTAAAATTGATGTTAACAGTTTAAATTCATTACTTTTTACATTAAACTTACAAATTCTGGCAATAGTGATCAATGAGCAAAGGTATTGCTTGGAATAGGTGGAAAGATCCCTCTATTCTGAGGCCCTCTGGTGTGTGCTCTATGAGGTAATGCTCCACAATCTGACCAGTTTCCGGTGGTTGCCGTAGTGACAGTGCCATCGTGTCTAGCTTACTGGACTGTCGAACAAGAAACGTCTGAAATATACGATTCATCAATATGTTAACAAGTGGAATGAGCATAGATACCACACAGAATAACTAAATTCATCAAAAATTGGAATGAATGTGAACATGTAAATTACACAATGATTCATTATGTACACCATACATATCACTTATACAGGAGTGGTCAATGGTCATACATGTATTGTTAAATGGGTTGCAAGTTACAGGTGAATATTTCAAGACATTGCGTACTAATTCAAAATGCTTTTTTTATAAAACAAGCCTTATCTAAAAGAAAAACAATCAGTTCTGGATATCCATACTAAGATACATTCCTGAAAATTTCAAATCAATCCGTGACAAGAATTCAGGACACTACCTATATGAAGGGAAGAATTCTGAAAGGTATTTCAAACTTTCTCTGATTTTTATATACTAGGTGACAATATGACTCCAGATTTTTTGGTTGGGACATAATAAAATGAACAAACAGACTCACCCCTACTGGTTTATTTTGCAGCAGATTAACAGCTCCAGCTCTACTGCACATGGGCAGGTACCAAATAGGGTGGGTACGGACTAGCCTTTCAATGTTAGTGATACCCCCCTCAGGCACATTGATCCTTGGGTTTGGGGTAAGGATATCAGATCCACCGACCCCCGAAAGACTCTGAAATTATAATAATTACACCATGATTAATATGACAAAATGTCATCACCTGGTTGAAGATGCAAAAAACAGTTTATTGAAAAAAAACACATTTATATCAAATCAAAAATCCTAAAACATCAGCCTATAGAATTTGGACAACAATCAAAAATATTTAACTTTTCCATAAAAATGGTGGTCATCTTTTCCTAAACAACCATCTTGAAAATTATTTATTTAACAGACATTCTTTGTCCTTAGGCATCAGCCTTCAGAATTTGAACCAAATCAAACAAATGGTATTGGTGTTATTAAATGTTACATCTTTAATGAAAAATGACAGCCATTTTAAACTGCTCTGCAATATTGGAAATTCCTTCTCATGCTCAAGTCCTAATGCCCATTTAAGGTATCAGCATACAAATTTGAACCAAATCTGTCAACCCATGTTCATGTATTTGTGTTATCAACAGAAAGGTGTACAATGTTAGATAGATGAACAAATGGCATTTCTATATCCCTACTCAAATTTTGTTTGAGTTAATGAAAATATTATATACACCAGTTTTGAAGAAATAAAAATATTTTACTGTGGATATCACTTAGTCACAATCAGCAAAACTTATCTAATTCATAATTCATTTGATAACATCAAACATGGAGATCAATGCACCTGTTACATCAAGTGATAGTGTGTGATAGTGACAACTGATTAGACAGAACTTTAACAGTAACAAAATATAGCAAGTTATACAACTTCTCAAACCTTCTTTTGTGTAAATATCAAAGCTTGAAAAATTCCTCACCTTGTAAGCAGTATCAGTTCCAGAAATGAAAACTGCTCTTATATATTTTCATAATATTTAAACGGCAATTAAATCATTTTCTCCATGAACAATTTTCCTATCTAAATACTCCAATTGGCCATACATGTGTTTTGCATGTCATGTTGTTTGATTAATAGGATGTCAACTTGTGTAAATACAACATGTTATACACATACCATTATCATTCCAACTGCAGGCTAAATGTTCTTATTTAACATGTTCTCATTTTATACAGCAAAGTATCATTAGTGAATAGTTATTAAAGTTGGTTCCAAATATAATGAAGATGACACTTTCATGGCCCATCATGTAATGAAACAACCATATGAATTTGTCTGATCGAAGCCCCTTGCAAAGTGGGTGGTTACCCCCAAACCATACCAAACTAGTTCTCAAACCATCCTATTCTAAAAACAAGCAGATCTTAATCATAGACTGAAGGAAAAGTAATAGTAAACAAAATATAAAAGATGAACATGGAAGGTAATGATGTTTTATGATTTTTCAAGAAGAAATTCCAGAAAGGATTGAATCTTTTCTTCTATAATGATAATGTTAACAAGTTACTGATCCAACCATTCTTGAATTGAAAATGCAAAATGGCAGTCCTTCATAGATTTCTTTATATCATTTTCTATTCTTAAATCCAAAACATGACATTAGTGAAATTAGTAGTACAAGCAATATAAACAGAGAAAATATTTGGATATACTACTCGTTCTAGATTGGTTTAATTAATTTAATTAGTGCTAAAACCTAGACTGTAGAGTACAATATGTTTATGTATACTCTATTTTGCAATGAGAGTGATATCATATGTTGAACCTTTTAGTTGATCATCCCTTTTAAAGGTTATGCAGTAGTAATTGTATATGATGCAAACCTGTGATTCAAAGTACCTAGCATATTTTCAGCATACTTAGTACAGTTTGATGTTTCTTTTTTCTTCATTATATGTTACTACAATGTCAGCACATTTTGTATGGTTTGGGCATGGGCTTTCAACTAGATTGAAAGCCCATGGTTTGGGATATCTTTTAATCCCTTGACTTCACAAAGAAAGTAATGATAGGCCTTGTCTGCCTTCATAAAAGAAGAGGTGGTAATGATTCCCTTGTGGTCACAAAGGAAAGGAAGCTATCTTGTCTTCATATGGCAGCTACCCAATGAGAACTATATCCTGACTTTATCAGCGACTTCACTTTTGTGTACATATGCTATGTGTGTCACTGTAACTTTTTGATGAAATGCACTTAACATTTGCACATACAGTACATGAAGTGTTGGTTTAATTATGAAAACACTGTAAATTACATTGACATTTATAGCAACTTAGACCCTACACTCAGTTTTGAAATGCCTTCTTATGTTTTTAAACTGTTTTTAAAAGTCTTAAGCATTTGGAGATCATTTGAACATTCCTTTTAAGTAAATTTAAAGTGAGTACCCCTCTTCAGAGTAAGATATATGCATTTCCCAAATGAACTCAGTTTCTAAATGAAAAGGTTTGTAAGGTAACACTTGTGGGGAACATATCTCTATACAAAAATTATGTGTTCAACTTTAAAATGCACTGTTCTTATCGTAAACCATATTTGAACACTTTCAAATATTTTAATATCAAATTCAAGAAGATAAGAATCACTGAACTCCAGACATTGTATTTTCTAGTTTTTAAATCTTACAAGAATCAACTTTGAGTTTAAGGAAGTATTGACCTGGTCCATTATCAGTCTCATATGTTACATAAGAAACAAGATAATTTACCTGAGTGGGCGTTTCAGGTTCAGACTCATCATCCGCATCATCATCTTCCCCAAAATACTGGTCCAGTAGCGCCCCCTCACTGAAATAAAATCAGCCATGTAATACAATAGTTCAATATTATGATCTTTGTAAATATAACCTAATGGTGGCAAGAGAAGTTTCCAAAATTTTCATAAGAGACTGACATATTTGTTGAAATGTCAAAAGATATGTGATGTATATTGTGTCTATATTTGGACCAACAAAATATCAGATCAACAAAATCCCTCCATTACTTTTCAAGATTAAAAAAGTAACATACTACTGGGCTCACATGGTGTAGTGGTTTCAGTCAAACTGACAGCCAATTAATTTCACCATTGTGAGGCATTTATATTTACAGTAAAACAAAGTAATTCTGTGAATTCAAATTATAATTCAAGAATTTATATGTAACATCAAAATCAAATTTAAATGCAAACCAAAACAATAAACTCTGTGATTTATGGCTCAAAATTGACAGCCATCTTGACTTATCTTTGAACTTCACAACCTTACTTGTATGTATTCAAACACTTAATGCAAATTGATGTAATAGTTATCAAGTTTAAACAGTTTAAATGAGTTTTCAACAATAAAAATGGCAACCATTTTGAATCTTTTGGGGATCTCAAGACCTTCCTAGTATAACATAAAAGGACTAATCATACTCATGTAAATCCCAACAGTTCCTGAGTTTTGGCTTGGTTCTCTTCAAAACCTAAAATCTGTAAAACCTGGACTAAAACAACTTTCGTTTTGACATCAGTCAGTGCTCATTCAATATTAGGGTCAAGCTTGTAATTAACAATCCCATTCAGGACCATTATAACATTTCATTCATAACATGTTTACAGGCACAGCTCAGCGAATCAGTTCCCAGTGTTAATTAAAGTCTTGTCTACTTTACCGTTACAAGATATTGATTCGGTGACAACATGGATTTTGAGATAAATGAACCTGAAAAAGGCTACCACCAAAAAGCTTATTCTGCTTTACATAGTCTCGAAAATCACTCTGCCATCTCTATAAATTCTGTTTCTAACCAAACTTGGAAATGTTTCCTGCTGGATTAGTACTTATCCTATCGGGAATAAAAATTGATTCATTTATTTAACACTAGATGACGCTGCAACAGGCCAGAAAAGGAGAAAAGTTTTTATACAGGAAACTAAATTAACCAAAGAAACCAGTAGTATCAATACTCCAAACTATATTCTTAACGTTATCGGACATATGTATGAACAGACAGATATTGGATGGATGGATGGATGGATGGAAGGCTTAAATGGGAAAGAATATTATGTTTATTATACAATTCAAATCAATATGAATATTTATGATAATGTTATTATGAATTGGAGGAAGAGAATGAGTCTTCCAAATCAACTGAAAGCATATTGTTACCCCAAATGTCAGTTTTAAGTAATGGTTCCAAAGTCTAAAAGCCTCAGGTCTAAATGATCAAAATTCTTACTGAACTTCTGTGCAAATTCCAAACATTGTGAAAACAATACACAATAGCATGTAATAAAAGTTTATGTATCTTTGTTCAAAACTAACTCAATCAAGATATTAGGGAGTTTAAGCTTGCAATGTTTTTCACAACCTAATTGTGAATGGCAAATATTTAAGCGATGCATTTGTATGGGTGTTTGGTCATACATAAAGATTGGCATTTCGATTTTATAAGCAAGCTTAAACTCCCTATTATCTAAAGACCTACGAGTATGTATATGTGATATATGCCCAATCCATGTACTTCATGTCCATATATTCCAATTAACTAAGTACATCATGGTTTTACATTCCTTTCTAAACAGTAGAAAGGTCATTCCAGCGAAATAGTTAATAAAATCCAGTAAATATTCCATCCATGTACTGTAGAACATAATAGGAAAGTGATTTTAAAAGTTATATAAGTTTCATATCCATTAGGTGTTTGTTTTCCTTCTAAGAAGGTACGACAATTGTGATGACTTTCCTCTCATGTGTGAAACATATGCCTATAAAATCCACTACAGATTTTGAGAAAGAATTCCATCAAGTGCAGAGTAAATCATTTAAAACTTTCTCTGATTCGAAAAAATGTGCACATTTGCAGTAGTTTATATGTCTGTTGGTGTACTGCATTTGCTGTTCAGTTTCTGTGATAAGCTCTGCTATCTTCCCTGCTAACTACACTTGCTAGACACGTAATACAAATGTAACAACAGCTACAACACATATCAACATGAAACCATCTCTCATTAATCTTTTGAAATTATTTATCTCAGTCTGTTTCTATGCCAGACAAGTCCTGTTGACCTGCTATACAAATCTACATATTTGATTGGCTAAAAGAAATCATATGACACAGCTAGGTAATCTGGGTAATTCCTTCGGTATTTATACCTAGAAAATTTCCAGTTTACCTTTAACCTGAACTAATGGACAAATTATCTATTCTCTACACAACAGGCTCATTCAAATATATATCATATTGATTATAAATCAACATTAAATATTAAATATCATTTTTATAAAGTCTTACTGGGTTGAATAGTATTGTTAAAATTGTATAGATTATACCACAGGTATTTAAAGTAGTTACAGAAAATCAAACTCTAATACCACCATTGGTATATGAACCTACCAATAATGGACTAGGCGGTTGTGGAAGCATGACTGGGGTTACAGTGCCAATGGTTGTTTTTTCAATGATTGACCCATATCTTGCTTTTAATATCAACTTTTTTATCTCATTTAAGTCAATATGAAATATCAGACCTGAAAAAGAGATGAACTTCACCTTAAATGATTTCTTAGAATTAATCCAACTCAACAAATTGAATCAAATATCATTACTTTTATTTATGAAATACCAAATCCTTAACTAACACTGATGTATGGAGATGAACAATATATAAAAACAAAAAAAATAAGTGGAACAGATTCTTATTTTGTGTTTCCAAGGACATGTCCTTAAATGAAATGCAAAAAAACAATCAATATTGATCAGCTTTAGTCAATGGTATAGATACAAAAAGAGGTTTGTAATGGAAACCAGCAAATCCAACTCAGAACATAAAAACAAAAATTGCATCATCTGTGGGGTTACATGGATATTCCTTATGCAAAATTGTCTATTCAAAAGTTATTAATAAAAATTTGGTTTGCTTGAAGGTTTAGGTTTTGAAAACTTCTTTGACTTTTTCATCATTACAGGTGCAGAGGCAAAAGCAGGTCAAATAACCATCTCATCATCAATAGATATTCTCTGATTTGATAGATATGATATATACTCCTATATTATATTGTCAAAAATGTGATATTTTGAAAATAAAAAGCTGATTTCTTAATTCTCCGAAAGGTCAGGGACCAAAAGTGTAAAGTTTGACAAAATTAATAAGATCATTAGTTCAGACGAATGTTTGTTTGAATGTTGGAAATGTTGGATGGATGGTAGTTTAACAGACAGACAGACGGACGGACAGACAGATGGACAAAAAGAAACAGCAAGATGCACTTTAATGACTTATTTCAAGACTATTAACTTTAAAGTTGCCAATAGCTGTGTGAACTTTGAAATAGAATAACTAATCAATGAGGTAAAGTACTATTTCAACTCAATCATAGACATTACAGGACATGTATATTGTATAGAGTAGGTAAAGGTCACTTATTCAAAACATAATGTGAACAAGCTATGAAAAAGAAAATGCAAATAAATATTTTGCAAGCATAACATTTAAAAAAACCTATACAAATGTATCTTATTAACTAATCTTATTCACCTTTTCATTAATAAATTGATCTGAAGTGTGTAAAAAATGTTCATTTTATTTGCCTACTTGATATCTGAAAAGAACGTCTGAGTGCTAGACCTTCTTTATTGACAGAAACTTAGGGTACATTTTATTGACTGCTACCTATAATTTTTGTTTGCACCGACTTTCTTCTTTTCATAGCAGAGTTTTGATTGAACTTGATTCAAGACCTTATATTCCCAGACTATACTTTCAACTCTATGAAACTGTCTGCTACTAATGATATAATATAATCCATCTCATAATTATTGACATTAAAATCATAAACAATGAAAATATGACATTCCCATTAGAGAATATAAATATAGCTAAGCTAACGATACAAGGTTTATACTCAAGAACTCCCAATTCGATAATCATGAAAAATAACTACATGTCTATTTGATTAAACTATAAATAATATAAACTACAAATATTATTTGATATTGTTTTATTCTATACTGTTCTTTAATAACACAAAATAAAACAAAAATTTTCTTACCGTATAACATATTTTTTTCTAGTTTTGTAATGCATCCTGCTCAACTAAATACCTGTGAGTGTTGTATTAAATAGTTGAAATGAATGGTTTTAAGTGGTAATGATTAACCCGTCCAAATTTTTTAAAAACCACATCTCATTTTCTTAAAAATGTACACAAATAAGAAATTTTCCCAATATTGTACGATGACTGCCATTCCACAAACTTTTTTCTTTGTGAAGTTCCTAAATAAATACCTTCTTTCATTAGGTTAACCAATAAAAGTTTAACGTGACATTTATATTGAGGGATAGGCTAGAGTGATTGGTAGACTATATTTGTATGACATTAGCAAATGATCACTCCCATGTTCTTTCAAAAATAAAATAGGAAGTTAAAGTCAACCTTTAAACGGTGCATGTCAACAATCGACTGTTAAATGTCAAGAGAAATACATATATATTCTCTATTATCAATTGATTGTTTTTTCTTTATCATATACAGGATCTGATTGAGTATATATGAATAGAATTAGATGAAAATAATTCATTTTCGCAACAAATGAAAGAAGGATTGGCGCCTAAACCACAAATACATGATTAGAGACAGGACAATACTTACTTTAGAGTACTCTATTCAATTTCTCATTTAAGAATTAAAATTTACACATTTTCTATTTTTACTTTTGTTAAATTGTTACCAATAGTCTACTAGATGCCTATAATGTTAAAAGTTTCACCACTGTGTGGCTAACTTGGGTAACATATATAATGACAGAGCAAAAAGAAAGTAATTCTAAACCAATTGTGATCTAATTTGTTTTGGTACGATATTAATTTCTGTTAAATAAAAAAGGCATTTGACTTTTCACTTATGATTTCATAGCAAAGTCTACTTAACCTCGAAATCAAATTTTCAAAAAAAAACAGTTTAAAAGTTAAAGGCCTCGTGTAAAGTTTGAACCACCGTTGTAGCCTTACCCAATGTAATCAAAATGTGATATTACATGTACATGTATTTGATTTAAATGAAAGTTGTCTATTATTATTGCGACCTAATGTTGACAGACAAACAGTAATTCTATTTGAGGATTTCAAATATGATATCACTTTAACTAAATTTGGGATATTATAGCATTAAAAATAAACAATAAAAAGTTTATTTTAACATTAATTTTGTTCAATACAATTGTATATGTACAAGGGTACCTAACAAATAAAAAACTTATAAACATTCGTGCCCTTTTATCTTAAATAAATAAGAATAAAAATTTATCTATTTTCTGATGTTTATTTACTAACCTTGGGTTAGACTTTTCACCTGGCCCATTCTGTGATTGTGGGAATGTTTTACAAAGGTCATTCAGTAAAAAGTCAAGGTCATTGGCAATACTGTTCAGCAACTGAAAATACAGAAACATTTAGATGTTTAAGAGGAAATCGTATTTCCGTGCATGACTGATATTCTACTATAAGTGACACACAGTCTGCATGACATAATTCCTCACTATATCATAATTATATATTTGTGAGTGTTTTTGGGTAGTACTTTTGAGGTAGAATGAAATAAAAAACTACAATTTTATGTTAAACTCACATCCCTAGTACTTTAAAAATCAGTAAAGTACATGAAGAAAATTACAATATTAAGAATCTGTCAATGGTTTACCATTAACAGCACATTTACTTAAATAGAAGAACAATCATCACTCTCATAACTAGGATATGTTAAATGTAGCTGAAAGGTTTAATTTGAGAGATTATGCTATGTGTTGTAGACAGATTCCTTGAAATAACTTCTACAGATTCAAGGAACAACATTAACCAGGAAAGTAAAAACAGATGAGGCAAAGGTAGATTTCATTTCCTCCTTTTGAGAAATTGAACAAGAATTGTAGAGTAGAGGTCCTGTTTCCATATTACATCCAGACATATCAATAGATGGACTTCGGTGAATGGACAAATGGACAGACAGATGAACCCAGGCCTGAAGCCAGCTTTTACCGATAATAGTCAGAATCAAAATTGTGAAAAACTGCATGATTTTGAGGCCTAGAACCGCTTCTCTATATCCAATAGGATATCAATAAAGTATGAATAATGACGAGGTATAGAGAATTCATATTCAATAGAAGAGAGAAAAATGTTATGTAAAATAGAATGTTTAAAAAGCTATAAGGAAAAATTCTTGTGTACTTCAAAAAAAGTAACCAACAAAATATGTTGGAACAATTCATTCACTTCAAAAAGTCATTGGTGATCAGAAAATGCCTGTGTCAGGTTCTAAGATAAGGCAGATTTCCAGAAAATTGAAAAATTCTGTTCAGTGACTTTTACGTTTTAGCTTTTACAAAGAATGTCTGGCTTTTTAATTGAATATCCATGTTGAAAATTCCTTCTTGAGCAAAGGTCCTATGCCTATAAGACATCAACCTATAAGATTTGAACCAAATCCAATAACCAGTATTATAAGGCACTGCATGTACTTTTGACTATTTTACAGTCAAATTTTCTGAGCCCTATGAAAAACTATTTCAGGATGTTCTGTTGTTTGTCCCTTGTGATCCTTGCCATGTGAATGATATGTGGGACAAATAATATTGACAGAAAGTCAAAATATATGTCATTTATCTGTTACAAAACTCAAGCATACTTTTGTTTTGGCATCTTGTATTATACAGTACAGTGGAGACCTTAAAATAACTCAGTGGGGGAGGGGGGCAAAAGTGGCAGTCATCCCATCTCTGTCAGTGATTTCAACAGTAAAAATTTGGCCAATTATGAATTTGAGAAATTACAGCACAAAATCTTCTGCGGCCTATATTAGTCCAACCCATCACATAAATGTATTTTAAAGTAAAAGGGGCTCAAATATTCTTCTAACAAAAAATGGCAACATATGCACCTTATACAAAAAATATTTCTTTCGTACTGATGTCTTTTGATTAATAATTTACACTGAATGTACATTAAGCAAAATGTGTCAGTAGCAAAGAAATATTTTTTGTATAGGGTGCAAAATAATGTTGCCATCTTATGTCATACATTTCACTAGAATTTCTCACAACAGGCTAAATAAATGAAAACAACTTGCAAAATTAATAGAAATCATAAATTTAACATGAAATAGTTGAAAAGTCCCTAAAAACAGGTGATTTTGTGAAGACAACTGGTGAAAATCACCTGTTCCCTGCTGCTAATGAAACCCCTGCACCTACATTCTAGCCCTTTAGATGGGACTGAGTCTAGGTCTAAGTCTCCTGCACTGTATTCTCCACAAAGTGTCTTTCAGAATTTCAATTTATCGATTAAATATTTTAAACATGGTTTTATGAATGTGGATGATAATGCTACTGCCTAACCATCCAAACCTGTTCTCATGAAATATCCTTTATGAACTTAAAGAAATAAAAATATATTTTACATGACAATAGAAAGAAAACATTACACATTTAAAATTACTTTCAAATCTAATGAATTGCCTCCCTTATGAATAATCAAATTATACTTACTGCAATAGTTAGATCAAAATCAAACATTTGCCTTCAAATATGAAAAAATATAAATCAATATCAATATAAAACTAAAGTGAAACGTTTAGTTAGTTCTAAAGGTGAAAATGACTGCCTTTTCCTTATACTTCAAAGTAGAAAAATTAAATCACATTTGATTTGTGAGGTAATCTGTTATATTGGCAAAAGATATATTTTATTGAGCTCACAATAGATTTATACACTTGGAGACCTTACAGATTAAGTGTAAAATCTCAATGTATTGTTCATCGCAACCTTGTACCACATATAATTATTGTGAAAATAAGATTATTAAAATCTAAATCCGGGTTTTAGACTCCTGTGTAAATTTTACAATTGTAAAACCTGTGAGTAATTTCACCCCTAACTTTTTTTCTTGGTTCTATTCCAAAATGATTATAGTGACTTATCTTGAATATAATATAGATATACCCTTATAGCCATTGTATTTTTTCTAAAAAGAAAAAAGAAATCAGAATTCTCTTGCTTTTCAAATATATTCATCGGAGTAATAACTCTATACCTGCACTCTTTATTTCTCTAAGATTCGAATGGTTCCATGCTAACTGGACTGAAAATCCAGACCCTTTTGAAATCTTTTTAGAGGGTCATTTCATTATGAACAAACTGTTTATATTTGATATGTATATTTCAGCATACCTTTACCATAAGCATATGAAAATATATGCCTTGATTCTATACTTTAACAAAATATCATAAGTTACCTTGTGCAAACTTACACATAAATGCAATATTCTGACAATATTCTTTTAACTCTTGCAAGTGCAAATGGCACGTCTTCATTTGATGGCTTAGTCTTTTCAGGAATCTGTGCTCATATTATTTTTGTTCTTGCAAATAAAGATAAATCTATAGAGGGATGGATGCCTGAACAAGGCTCATGACTAAACCCTGGTTTGTTTTTGTTTTATTCACTTTAAATTATAATGAAACTTTTTTCAAAAATGGATGTTTGACTATAAATAAGTACTTGCAGTAAAACTTTGATAACATTTCATTTTTATAACAAGAATATGTAAGATTGTATACTAAACTGATCAAAGCATTTGAAAATCATGTTTGAGCAAAACTTCAATTTCCCATAGGGCATTGTGTCTAAGATCTAACAAGATCTTGCCAACAGTATTTCATGAGAGAAATAAAAATCACGAGGCCGTAGAAGTGTCAATTCAGTTGACTCACATGGTAATTATGATCATGGATGATGTAACATTATATGTACAAAAAGCTGATTTCTCCAAAATGAGGAAAGTATAGGTGCCCAGAACAATGGTGTTAACTAGAAAATGGCAACTCCATAGAGTGGCAAATCCCAACAAACAAATTATTCATAAATCAGAAATATATCACAGTGCAATATATGATGGTTGAATAACATACAGCTATGCTTTAAGGATGTCTAGGTGCCAGTAATTTGTATCTAAAAGTTTAACCACCAGGTGGCTAATTTGGGTCATATAACCTTTTGGAGTTAAACAATTGGAAATATCCAGTGAAAGAAAATTTTAACTGACCAACAGAAGAAAATATTTCATTTTTCGTGATTTTATAACATGGGCTCTGAGGGGAATCTTCCCTTACCTAGAAGTCACATTTTAAAAGAGAATGAAAATTTCAATGTTGGTAAACAACTTTAAAACCACAATATAGATGTAAATTTATATGTAGGTTTCAAATATGATATCACTTTGATTAAAATTTTTAATGACAAAAATCAAGGTCATTTCTACTTGCATCTTGTCTATTATAATTGATAATTCCTGGATTAGGTGGTTGTTTTAGAAATTCCAAAGTACTGTAAACATATACTGATAAACAAGGCATTAACATGACAAAATGTCACCACCTAGTTGCTCACAATCTCATTAGTTCAATCATAAGTCAGATTTGAATTTCTTAGAACTTGTAGATGATTTAGAAAAAAAACGTTTTTGACCTTGAGAAGGTCACTGAAGGTCAACTATTTTTTGACCATGAGAATGTCATTGAAGGTCAAATCTATAATCAAATTTGAACTTTTGAGAACTTGTAGATGATTTTGAAAAACAAATTGGTCAATTAGAAGCAAGTTGAAAAAATACAATTTTTTACCTTGAATTTGTTACAGACGCCACCCACCGATCACCAATCACCAACCACTACCTGCCGATTGCCAACCACCAACCGCCATTACAAAAAAGGAGACCATAGCAATATGTCACCACTTTTCGGTGGTGACATAATAAAATGATGAAATAGTTATAGTCTACTAAAAAGTAAAAATATCTTCGATATTAGTAATAGCCATACTTTGAAGTAGGGGTGGGACGGATAACCGAAATACCGAAAAACCGCGGTTCATAGCCTTCGGATCGGTTTTCGGATCACGGCCCTACTTTCGGATCAGCTTTTCGGATCGTTTTCGGATTAATATTTCATTGGTCAAGTATCAATAAAACAGTTAAAAACACTGTTTTACAGCAACATTTTTGATATTCCTAGTCCCTACCTTGTCTGTCTTGTCTGTTGCTAGCTCACTCGTTTACTAGATTTGTTTCGTATCCGCGTATTCGTATCCCTCGGTAATCAATCATGTGGTCCCTGGTACTATATTCTTTAGTCGCGTATTCTAGATAATATGTATTGTTCATGAAATACTATAACATAAAATTTCATCTATAAAATATTGTTATAACTTGGCATAATTGATACAAAGATTTGCGCAAATTTATATTTGCGCAGGTTCGATATAGGGTATTATTTTGTGCGCACCCACAATACATTCAAATATGGCGTCTGGATCTCAAATTCCCGTTTTCCCAAAAGAAATGAAGATTATAAATTAGTTATTTTATTGGTTGTATTAAAAG